CTCACGGGTTCTCCTTTTAATAAAATGAAAAGTAAAGAGTGGACAGATTCAGCGCCCTATTGTGGCTGCTATTTTTCTGTTTTTGTATCATTTGCCAAGTGTTTGCGTTGGAAATATTGCTGAAAAAAGTATTTATTTTGCTAAAAGAAGTGTTCAATTTTTTTTTATTAATAACAGAATCATTCTTTTGTAATTTCTTGAACCACTAATGTCTGTTACATACACATTGAAGATTATATATTTAGATTGAAGATTTTATTAATTACTGACATTTGACACAAGATTCATGAAAATTAAAGTCAATTTGAGATTAAAGTTTAATTAGAGTCTTTTCAAGTAGGCATGACTATTTGTGGTTAGAGGTGTTAGTAGATTAATTACTCAATCGTAATACGTAACTTGCATACAATATTGATATCAAAATAGTGTATATTTTTATAAATTTTTTAAATCTCTCTTCAAAAATCAAAGTTTTTCGCGATTGTTGCTAAACTTGACAGTTAATGAAAAGCTTGCAGCTGAAAAAATATGCAAATGCAAATATGATACTTCATATTGATAGCAACTTTTCAAATAGAGTCGCCGTTAATTCGTTATTACTATCTCTACACGAGTACAATTTCAATTTCGATACAGTAAATTATGATTATTTCGATTTAAATGCTTTTATTATGTTAAATATTGATTATTGCATATCACAAATGAACTAATAGAGTCGCGATAAAATCAATTCTTGTTTTACCTTTGCACAGAGACATAATTCATTTTATGCTTAAATTCATTTGCTTAATAGTCGAGTCTATCGTTCTAGTAAATTCATTTTTTTTTCGATAAAAAAGACGGATATTCTTAATATTTTGTGTGTACTAACCCGTTTCCTTTTCAGCTTCTTATCCAATGAATTAGTTTGTTTCAGGTTATCTACAGAAATTCCGACAATGAACACAAGTTTGTCAACATGAGAAGATAATACCTTGAGTTTTCTGTTTCAGGTTAGGTATCGTCGTGGGATCAAATTTCAACTCCACCGAAATAAAATGTCTATAAAACCATGTTATTATATTATTTAGTCTTATTATGTATATGTTGTTATTGATATTCTTATTGAAATTTATGCAAAATGAAATGTCCGTAAGCATGTTTTATTTTGATATATACTTTGAATATTTATTATCGAATTAAAATATGTATAAAAATATATCGATATACTTTTATGCGTATTACATGTTGTTATTGAAATTTTTATTGCAATTATTATTCAAATTTATGCATAATGAAATGTCCATTAACATGTTTTGTTGTGATCTTTTAAACTTCTGTTTCAGGGATCGTCGTATTATCAAATTTCTTTGACTTTCTGTTTCAGGAATCATCGTGGATTCAAACTTCAAACTGAAGTATCCACAGCTAATAATAATGTCTCGTTTTAATCTTTCAGGGTCTGTTTCAGAAATCATCGTACGAAGACATCACATATGAAGACCAATAATAATGTCTCGTTCTAATCTTTCAGGGTCTGTTTCAGAAATCATCGTATGAAGACATCACATATGAAGACCAATAATAACGTCTTGTTCTAATCTTACAGAGTTTGTTTCAGAAATCTTCGTATGAAGAGCAATAATAAATAATGTAGTTTAACGTAGTTCATCGTAGACTTAATAACTGCTTGGCACATAGAATATTAAGTGCGTAAACAAAATGATCGATGGAACTTTTTTCATTCCATCTATCTCTTTCGTTTCAGTTTAAGATATTCTAACATATCCCGAGTAATTATTCAATCACTTAGTTTCAATTTTTCTCGCTGTAGTTTTGTTCGGTCCGGTCACCTTGCGATACAGGCAGGTTAATCGGCCGTCGTGTTTGCGCATTAGTGCAAATTGACTGGATTCCCTAACTGTATTGCCCTCCCGCGTCATACCCACGCTGCACGCTGATCCGTATTACCGTGTCGATTCCATACGGCAGTCGGAGTATTCGGTGTACAGGATCGGTACATTGCGTTGGGATTTTACACCGATGACGCTGCGCGATTCCGATTCGTCCATTTTGTTACAGTGCCACAGTTGCGAAAAACCAACGTTTCGTATTCGATCGTGTGCGCCGGGTATGACGTCGGGCCTAGTGTGGTGTTTCTGTGGAAGCACGTCGGGCTAAAGGTACATTTATACACCGGGCCCGTATAACGGTTCGACCCGTGGTTTAAATGTGCCGGATCTTCCCGAACGGAGATGACAACGACGTGCGGCTGGAATCCCTGCAACGGGGGGCTGGGAGAAAGGAAACAGACACGTGAACGCGGCAGTCGAGTCCATCCATTTTATTCTGAGACAACGATCTCTCTGAATATAAGTACTCACCTTCTGAGAGTAGGTGTACGTAGTATATATACCCTCCCTTCATCTTTCGAATAAATACTCGGTATATTAGTGTTTAATTTAAGTTGTTTTATATTATTAGCATTAAGAATATTAAGATTATGTTCAATAGTATGCCAGTACATATTACGATTAATATGGCCTCTCTACTATTGATTTTGGAGTATTAACCCTTTCAGGCCTGAGTTTCTCTTAAGAGTAACAAAAATATTTCATTACGCATTTTAACTCAGTAGGCTGTTTAGATAGTTTTTTGAAGAAAAAAAAATATTTTGTAAGTAAGCTGTAAGAAAAATGTGACCACCAGGTATGAAAGGGTTAAGATAGTAGTTCTAAGCTGAAGAACGAAGACATCCGACGAGGGAACTTAGTTTTTTATAGGTGTAGGCTCAAGAAAGAAGTCATCCGCCGAGGGATGTTAGTACCGATCGTATTAGATAATTAAGATTTAAGTTATTTATAAGGTTTATTGTGAAAGGTGGATAGATGCAGAACTTGTGATTTCATCTATCTGTCTTGGGCCTCCAGTCGCAGCAACCTCCTCGTGGTGAGGCCCGGGCAATCGGTATTGTCTTCGGTAAAGTATTGTAAAACGAAGATAATATCGAGCTAATGGCTGCAAACTTTGCATTTATTTCGTAACAGCATGTTCTATGTTACACCAGACTTTAAGGGCGAAGGTAGTTATATACATATATGTATATATACATATACAGGGTGGCCCACATAACTCTTAACAGCTCAATATCTCGAAAACTATGCCATCGATTTTAAAGTTCTTGGTCTTAAATTGTATGAATCTGAAGGGCCTTTCTAACTCCATAAACGTGAAGTGCCCCCCCCCTACCCTTTAAGGGGGGGGGGCGTACCTTTATAATTTTAAATGGAAACCCCTATAAAACGTTACATATTTAGATTCTAAAGGAAAAAACAAGTAAATTTTGTCTGAAACATTTTTTTGTCAGATATTTCCATGATTAGATATAACAGTTTGAAGTTTCGACTTGTAGGTACTTACTTGAAGCGCTCGGAAATTGCGTTATTGAATTATACGCGCTTGAGTCCTTTGCTTATTCGTGAAGAAATAACATGTTCTTTAAATTAAATGTTCAAAATGTCCACCACGGGCTTGTAAACATTTATTTACTCGAAACATCAAAGTTGTTCCAACATTTGTTAACATTTCGGGAGTCACTGAAGCGCAAGCGTCACATATAAAGATATGTAAAGGACAAAGTTATGTTTGAACCGCCGATGACAAAAGAGAATATGAAACAAAGAATACGTGACGCTTACGCTTCAGTGACTCCCGAAATGTTAACAAATGTTAGAACAACTTTGATGTTTCGAGTAAATAAATGTTTACATATATTTTAATATATGTATAATTGTTTGCAACGGTTTACATTGTATCCCGTCATGCGTGCCCCGTTTAATTCACTTTGGACAACTCTTACAACGTTATGCTGACAGTTTTCGTTTTGACCAAGCCTTTGATTTATAGCTTGAAGAACATATTATTTATGATAACCCCTGTTATTTATAATAACAATAAGTGACCAGAACATTGTTAAAATCGCATTTAATCGCGGAATACCACTACTTTTTCGCCCGGTGGCGCCACTCGTAGCAATTCGCTCAAACTGCTAGCCAAATCATACCGACAGGTGAGTAAAAATTCCTAGTGATGGAAAAATGCGAATATTTCAGTAATTAAGCGCTCAAAGTTAAGGTTGCTAGTCTTAATTATTCCACATAATTCAATGCGTCGACTGAATACAGCAGAATCCCATAATTAAAGAAATTATTTCTACTAGTGTTGTTATATGCATACATGTGAGCAAGGGACGTATTTTCTTGAAGATAACGGTGGCGCAGGAAACAAATGTCTACTGTAAGATGCTATGCCGGTATTATAGATTTATAGGACCACGAAATCCCTTAAAGTTATCTTTAGGGTACATACATACTGGTCACCTTATATACATATACCGCACTTTCTGTGACGCAAAATACGCGAGTTAATTGCGACAGCGTGTATGAAAAATACATGTGAACGAGGGGCGTTCATTTTGACAAAAAAACGAGCCTCCAATTATCGAACTTCTACTGTTCATCTCGTCTGTGCCTACATCAGATTCTTTATCTATCGATGGTATGGAAATCATACAAATACATATGTATATGCACATACAAGAATCTCTTCGATATTTTTTCAAAATAGTTTTGTCACTTTTTTACTTACCTAGACATGAAATATTTTTGTGACCTTTCTATAAATGACATTCATACGTAAGTTTTAAAGTGTCGAGATTGTGTTCGTATAGAAATAATGGTTCGAATATTTTTTATGAATAGGACTATTTTTAAACTATAAATATAACTTGATTTCTGCATACATTTCCATATCAAATTTCCCATATCAGTTTAAGCTGCACATCGATAGTATCGAAACAACGTAATTAAATAATAAAAAGATAAAACACGTCGATGTTCACTTTCTTCCAACAGTTGTCCTCACTAGTGAGAAATAGATTCTGTGTTTGGCATCCCTGCAAAAAGGCATGCTGACTCGAACGGCAATAAAATGAAATAAAACGGAGCTGTGAAAAAGTTTCATTTAACCGTGCTTCGTTTAGGTAGTACAAAACATCTAAATTAGTAGATTCGATAGATATTTGACGACGCTGACACTATGTTTAATGTTATTTTTATAGACCGAACTACAAAGCAAGATTTGTATTGGTGTTGACTTTTGACTGTGAGAAATAGATTTCTGGTGCAATTACTCTAGTGGTTCATTCAAGAAGGTAGGGAGGCTCGCTTCAGTTCATTATACATTTATACATTTCATTATAATTATGTGGTAATCATCGATCCACATTCCTACGAATGTCTAGCATTAAAATGCGACTCGTGTCGCAGCTGAAAATAATTTGCATACATAAGCTCTTTTATATAGTAACTTACCCCTTGTATTTTCACATTAAAGCGTAATTCCGAATTAGTTTCCTTTACACGATATATTAATGGCTCTTAGGTATTCGTTTGCAATATCACATGTACAAAGCGGTCAAAAATAGTGTAAGAAAACTTGAAAATTACGTGATACTTCAATTAATTGTCGAACCTAACCTCGAACTTGTAACACGAGAAGGAGATGTCAGTTTAGCCAGTTCAAACCAGGTGTATTACGGATCCTCCGAATCTCCTTAATTGTTCTGATTACTTGCATCTTTGCTGCGTGGTAAGTGAAACATTCCTTTCTAGTCTGCTTCATTACTACACATATACATATAATATTATAATTTCTCTTTGTGTCTTCTGCATAATTTTTTGTTACATTAAATCTTAGGACCATGTTTTGTCATTTTCATTTGTCTGAATAGTAATCATATCTCTGACTTGCAGAATTATTTATTAAATCTACATAATGTATAAAAGGCTTTTATATTATGATGTTCACAGATAATTCTATGCTTCTGAAAAATTGATCACAACTTTAAACTTCAGGGTCACATTTGTTCATTGTTATATTTTATTCATCAAGAAAAAAAAATGGTCAAAGGAATTGTTTTATTCATTTGAAAAATACTGTCACAGTTTTATGATTAAGCTGTTACAATATTATATTACTTTTACTTATGACAGGACTATATTTTGAACCTTTAATGTTATGTAGAGGTCTGGCATTAATTCTGATTAAAATAGAATATATTTTGTGACTCAAAGCATAATCTTCTACTAATTTGTTAATAGCAGGAAACATTTAAGTTATGTTTTAAGGAATTAAATATTATATCTTCCAAATGTCAATAATAGATTGATTAATCACAATTATATATTTACCTATGAACATTCAGACAGCAGTATTATCTATTTATTTTATATCTGAATTTGCCTACGTTCATTTCATTAAACTAGAGATTCAGATGCAATATGTTAACTCAGTATAACTAATATTCATCGAATATGAATTCATACTTGAAAATAAATATGTATATTTATTATCCTAAGAAAATTAAAATTTTAATTGTCATTAAACTTTAAATACATTCTCATTCTTGTAAACTAATTTCTAAAACAGAAATTTAAATAAAGTTTATTTTCCCTATTAATACTTTCATAACATTTAAGTAAACTGTTTAATAAAATTTAATACAGTTTTCATTTCCTCAATTTATGCATTTTAAACACTCATATATACTGACAATACATAAATATCAATAGATTAGTCATTACTTAATGTGTATCATGTTATATTTAATAAGGAACCCTTTAAATTTTAATTTTAGTTAAAAGAGGGATGCCACGCAGCAAGCGTAGAGCGCCCTCTAGCACAAACCATCACCATACTTCTATTGAAATGTCACCTAGTGCCCAGGACGAGGGTATACCAAGGCATCCTTCGAAACGACTTAGACACACATCTAGGTAAATTATATAGGAGTATTCTGTTTATTCAAATCAATAACATTATAAACATAATAAATCACAGCAATAGTATTCAAATTTTTAAGTAATTTATTAAGGCAATTAATGACAAAAATATTTATTTTATACTAATTAAAGTTCAGAGAATATATATGTGCAACTTTAAAAATGTATATGATGAAATACTATAAACTGTTTTATATTTCCCGTGATTGTGAAATGTATCAACAAAACAGTAATATAAAAGAACAAAGTATACAGGTATTTTAAACATATGTTGGAATAACATTTCTAAATTCTGTGAAACAATATCAATATCACAATATCAGCTTGTGTAATGGTACTTGTTAATATTAATGGAGAGAGTAAATATAATACGTATTTCTTTCAGTGCAAGACGTTATACAAAAACAGAAGATGTTTCAAGTACTTCAAGCTTTTCCCAAAAGCGTTGTATCACTTGGTTCAGAGAATACACAACACCTGATGATTCAGACACTCTCGGTCCTGAAGGAATGGAAAAATTCTGTGAGGATATTGGTGTAGAACCTGAAAATGTAGTAATGCTTGTCCTTGCATATAAAATGAATGCTCGCCAAATGGGCTTCTTCACACTAAGTGAATGGTTGAAAGGTCTTTCGGAATTACAGTGTGATTCTATTAGTAAAATACAACAAAAACTTGAGTACCTAAGGAATCAGTTAAATGATCCACATACATTCAAAGGAATTTACAGATATGCTTATGATTTTGCTAGAGTAAGCATTTAATTTGTTCATAAAGTTTTAAATGCTTCATGCGTGCATGTACTTGTTATCATTGTTATATTTCAGGACAAAGATCAAAGGAGCATGGACATGGAAACAGCTAGAGTTATGTTACAGTTACTTTTGGGAAAACATTGGCCACTTTTCACACAGTTTGCTCAGTTCCTAGATCAGTCAAAGTACAAAGTGATTAATAAAGATCAATGGTGCAACATTTTAGAATTTTCTCGTACAATTAATCATGACTTGTCTAACTATGATTTAGATGGAGCATGTATGTACCTTTGTTATACTATTGCTAGTAATTCCTTCCATTGTGCACACTCACTGCAGAAATAATTTTTACAGGGCCAGTAATGCTTGATGAATTTGTTGAATGGTTAAAAATGCAGCGAGGTAAAGAAGCATCGTCAACAGAAGTTAGAAGCAGCTGAAACATTCAATAAAAATAGTCCACTGAAATAAAACAAACTCATCTCTTCTATCATCATATTTTGTTAATAACAAAATTTCTGTTTATGTCATAACCTCGCAACATTTCAGTTATCACCATTCGTACTATATTTTTTATTAATCAGTAATAATGTAAGTAGCTTATCTTAATGCGATTTTTCAGTATGTTCTAAACAGATTCTGCTTTGAATACTAGTTCAATCATAATTATTTATCACCATTCATAGATGGTCCAGAATGTGTCGCAGAAACTCTTGTGATTGATAGTAAAACTATTTTGGTACAAGATTTATTTGTGCAATTCACATAATGTACTTTAAAAGTGTAAACTGAAAGTAAAGAAAAAAAATTGATATTTTTAAATTAACAAAATATTGAACAGGAAATATCATTTTTCTTCCTCAGTTTTATTTATTTAATTTTGTAAATTAATAAATAATTGCACAAGAGTTGCATTCCAAGTATTAGTTACAATGATTTATAAATAAATTTAATGAATTATTTTTCAAAATTGAAATGTATTTATTATTGTTATTATTATACAAATTCATAAATAAAATTACATCTTTTATTAAATTACAATCCCTTATTAAACCATTAGTATTTATGAAGTTAAATTATGGAATTTAATTTGCATAATATAAAATTATATGTGAAATTAGCCTCTCTTGTTTTTAAATTAAAGAAGATTACAAGTAGAGTCGGTGTTAAAGTGCACTTATCATAAAAATTTTTGCGACAGCTTCAATGGATTAATATGTGGTGATTAATTAAGTAATTTTGTAATATATTTTAGTTCAATCAACTGGTTATTTCTATAACTTAGCAGAAGTTTTGGACATACATTGTGATTCAAAATGATATAAAAGAATTTTGTCAAATAATAACATAGGAAATCACTGCTATTACAATTACGAATTAGTTCAATTATTAAATCAAATTTGTTTACTTATATGTACATGTATATTTTTCCTGCATGTGTACTTCTATTACAAATAATGTCATTAGCGATATAATATAAAATAAAATTTCAAATTTCGCTCATAACTTCCAAATTAACAGTAATCTTTAACTGATGGATGAAAAGTATCTAATGGAAAATTATAAACTCATACATAACAAAGGAATTAGAAACAAGAATTTAAAATCATTGTATGCCGCTGCAATATAACTGCCATGTGGAGAATGTAATGTAATAAAGAACATGAAATAAATAAAATACTTTTTTCAATATCTTCATTTTCTTTATTTATCCAAGTAAGATTTTCCATATAGAATTTGTATAATTGCATTAGATGCATATTTTGTTAAAATTATTGATATACATTATATACAGCAAATATAATAGAAACAATAACTTTTTGTGTCTAGAAATTATACAGGGTGGTAGAATTTGACTGAGAATGATTCTAAATTCCCCGAAAAATCGAAAATGTAGAATAAAGAATTTTCGTATGAAATTTTGTTTTTTGGGAAAACTGAATTTGAACATCCGCCAGTTATGCATGTAATAATAATTACATCTTTATTAACTTACTATTTCTACTTACAATGAATACAGGCGATGTTGCGTTATTATTATTTATTATTAATTTAATCTCGTACGCATGAATTTATATCATACTATGAACCCTTTGCACTCGGAATTTCTAATTTTCCATACATTTTGTCGCTTCAGAGGCGACAGTGGAGTGCAAATGGTTAATATTTGAAAACATTAACAAAAATAGTACTAATTAATAATGGATAAAAGCCCCAGCAAATTTATATTTAAATATACGCGTGCCAGATAAATTATCAAACTAGAATTTTTTGAAAAGTAAACTTCATGCAAAAAAAATTTTGTTCTACATTTTTTATTTCTTTTTCACATAGAATCAATTCTGATCCGACTTACCATCCCACCCTATATAAACATTTTCAAAAACCGCGCCAATATTAACTGTATTACATGCACCACATGCACAATTTTGGAACTCATCTCTGAAATGCATTTACACATACGAATGTATATAGAGAAATATTTTGATTCTAAAATAAAAAATAGAAAATAATATGAGCAAACACTAATGATTCAGTGTATATCAATATAATTCATTATAAGCTTCATACGAGGGATATAATTAATATGGTTAAGATGGTTAAGATAGATACATCAAGATACATCCAAAATAACAGCATTACTGGTAGCGTGTAGAGAACCTATTTTAAACTGAAGATTATACTTTCGCTCGGATGGAGGAACGAACGCGGTTTAAAATAAACTTGAAACGCACTAGTAACGTCTAGACACTTCTGAAACCTTTTTAACATGATGCGGAAGCGATACCAGCCTCAGTATTGCATTGTAGACTTTCGAATGTGATACGAATGAACAAATTATTGAATATACTTTCGATTTTTTAATAAAGTTGATTGAATATATAAAATCTCTTTCACGGTAAGTATTTAATTACATTAATTATAATCAACCTTCACGATATGTATTATTTGGTCTCACTCATTTAAGTTCAAAACTGTCACGGATTCATATAATTTTGCAATTAATATAATACTTGTTTCTTATTCAATAAAAAGTTTTGCATATGAATTCATTAAAATCATTTTTTAGTTTAGAAATCTCCTATCATGACAAAAACAAACAATTTGACTGCACAACAGTGGAAAGAGCTGGGTAATGAGGAGTTCAAAAAAGGGAATTGGTCAGAAGCATTGAGTTGTTATACAAATGCATTGAAGCTTTCAAATGAAGATAATTCTGAAAAAGCTATATATTATAAGAATCGTGCAGCTGTATATTTAAAGCAAGAGAAATATAATAATGCAATTAATGATTGTAACGAATCTCTGAAAATATGCTCAAGTGATCCAAAAGCACTATTTCGAAGATGTCAAGCATTAGAAGCATTAGAAAGATTTGAAGAAGCATATCGTGATGCAAGATACATTATTGCAGCAGATCCTGGTAACAAGGCAATTCAACCTATTGCCACTAGATTGCATGAAATTGTACAGGAAAGATATAAACAAAATTCTCGTATCAGTGCTAAGGTTTGTATGATAATATTAATTAAATAATATAATATATTTCAATGTATATAAAGATTTATTATAATCCGATGTATAATTGTGTTCTTCTGTAGGTATCACAAATGATGGATATAGCTTTAGAAATTAATGGAGACAATGAAAAGCGAGAAACAGCAATGAATAATTTGCTTGTTCTTGCTCGGGAAAGGGCAGGAGTAGAAATAATGTTCAATGATGGAATTGTTTCTAAAATAATGAAAACCATGAAACTTGAGAAAAATGAGGAAATAATAATAATTGGAATTCGCATCATTGCAGAATTATCTAAAGATAATATTAATCGAACAGAAGTTATCCTAAAAGATATTGGTATACCTTGGTGTTTAGAAATGATTAATAGTAAACTTACAGAGAAATACGAAACCAAACAAAGAATTATGTGATAAATATAACAAGGAAATTGATACCATTTTATCTTGTTTATTGTACAGTGTAACAAGCAGAACAATTTCTGGAATAGCTAGGGATGCAATTATAGAACTTATTATGCGCAATATTCATTACACTGCATTAAATTGGGCAGAAAGACTGGTTGAACTTCATGGTTTACAACGTTTAATGGAAGTAGCGAGTGAACTTGAAGAATATAAGTATGAATCTTCAATGGATATTACACCATCTACTAGAACTGTGACCAGTGTATGCTTAGCAAGAATTTATGAAAACATGTATTATGATGCAGCAAAGGAGAAATTCAGACATGCTATTGATGAATACATTAAAGACAAACTACTTACACCAGACATGGAATCTAAGGTAAACAATAAATTCTTTTACACTTCTGGAAAATTTTATCGTGTAAAACATAAGTTTCTAACATATTTGTTTGTATTCTAAATAGGTCCGTGTTGTAGTTGCAATAACAACATTATTGCTTGGTCCAGTGGATGTTGGAAATACAATTATTGCTAAAGAAGGTATTTTGGAAATGATACTTGTAATGGCAGGCACAGATGATCTATTACAACAAAGAATTGCTTGCGAATGTATTGTTGCTGCTGCATCTAAGAAAGACAAAGCTACTGCAATTATAAATCAAGGAGTGAATATATTGAAAAAATTATATCAGTCTAAAGATGATTCCATAAAAGTACGTGCTTTAGTAGGTTTGTGTAAATTAGGCAGTTCGGGTGGCACAGATGCCACAATAAGACCATTTGCAGATGGTGCTACAAAAAAATTAGCAGAAGCTTGTAGAAGATTCTTAATTAATCCTAAGAAGCAGAAAGATATGAGAAAATGGGCAGTTGAAGGTTTATCGTATCTTACTTTTGATGCTGAAGTTAAAGAAAAATTAATAGAAGATAGTGCAGCAATTCAAGCAATGATAGAACTTGCCAGAACTGGAGACCAGTCTGTAATTTATGGCGTTGTTACAACATTAGTAAATTTGTGCAACGCTTATGATAAGCAAGAAATTATACCTGAAATGGTAGAATTGGCAAAATTCGCAAAACATCACATACCCGAAGAACACGAATTTGATGACCCAGATTTTGTAAATAAAAGAGTAATTATATTGGCTAAAGCCGGCGTTACGAGTGCGTTAGTTAGTCTTTCCAAAACCGAGAGTCAAAACAGTAGAGAGTTGATAGCGCGCGTTTTCAATGCAATATGTGGTCAACAGGAAGTGAGAGGAATTGTTGTTCAACAAGGTGGAGCAAAGGCCCTTTTACCATTAGCCTTAGATGGAACAGATAAGGGAAAGAAACAAGCATCCCAAGCTTTGGCGCGTTTAGGAATTACGATAAATCCAGAAGTTGCATTCCCTGGACAGAGAATAATGGAAGTAATTCGACCTTTCATAAATCTTCTGAATCCAGAATGTTCTGCGCTTGAAAATTTTGAAGCTTTAATGGCACTGTGTAATTTAGCTGGTGTTAATGATAATGTTAGAAAACGAATATTAAACGAAGAAGGTTTCCAGAAAGTAGAGTCTTACATGTATGAGGATCATGAAATGCTAACACGTGCAGCCATTCAAGTGGTAAATAATTTAATGATGTGCGAAGATACTATAAAATATTATGAACAAGAAAATGACAGAGTTAAATATCTAGTGATTCTTTGTGAAGATGCAGATGTTGAAACAAGTATGGCGGCAGCAGGAGCTTTAGCGATGTTGACCTCGGCTAGCAAAAAAGCCTGTACTAAAATATTTGATTCAGATCATTGGTTGGAATCACTACGATTTTTACTTGCTAATCCAAATCCTGATTTACAACATAGAGGAGTTGTGATTGTTTCAAATATGATTAAAAGTACTAAGGACGTTGCGGCAAGATTAATTGAAACTGATGTGATGGAAATTTTAATGGCCCTAATGAAAAGTGATTCTGCAGAAAATAAAAAGATCAAGGAAATAGCAGCAAGTGCATTAGAGGCAGCAGCAAAGTGGAAACTTATTAGGAGTGCAACTGACGAACAACAATCTCAGAGTTCAAATAATTTGGAGAATGTTGAATAAATTTGCAATATGTACTTAATCATAATTGTATCAAGTATAAAGTATTTTTAAAATTGATTACATTTCATAATGCCATAAAGTGTCTAAAAAGATGTGTTCAATCTTATCTTCATAATAAACAGTGCAATAAGAGGTAGATAGATTAGTCTAAATTTAAATTTAAATTTACATATTAGAAGTATTGCATTTATCAATAATTTGATATTGTATACTATTATTACTTAATACAATAAAATTATTTATTTATTTTCTAAAACTCTGTATTATTTATTTTGTATAAATAACCGTGTATTATACGTTTATATGCGTGTACGTGTGTATGTACAATTTACGCAATATTTTTCATTATAATAAAACTAAATACATAATTACATTTGTATGTTTTAATATATATTTTTTCAAATCAATGCGCCAATAGTAATGAATAATTAGAATTGTCATAATGCAAAGGAAACTATGATTTTAGAAATGGATGTTGTAAAGCTTGATCCGCAGTAAGTCGTGTTTTGTAGTCTAAATCCAACAGTCTCAATAGCAGATGATAAGCTTCTTTTGAAAACTGAACTTCCGATGAAGCCTTAAAAAAATATTCAAAAATATTCCTTAATATAAAGCTATATATATTGTTGCAGAAAACTTGGTAAAACAACATTTCTATTTCCAATCACACTTATAAAAAAGTAATATAAATTAAAATACCTTCTCATACATGCTATGATCGCTACTATTGTTTAATGAACCCTTATTTCTCTTTTTTAACTTCTGACATAAAGATACAATATCGATGCCCGGTATGTCTTCATAAAAGATAATCTTTTTTCCTGAATTAGCAAAGAAGTATGTAAAACATGAAAGACAAATAAAATGAAAATAGAAGCAAAACAAATTATTTTGCGGCATTAAATAAATTAACAATTTTTCTAATAATACCTAGCTTGTGTGCACATTGTTGCATTTTATTTGATCCAAATATGGTTGTTATTTCTGCTATAGCTGTACAATCATCTGGAGAATGGAAAAATGGTTGAGTACCACTCAGGATGCACAGCATCATTACTCCACTCGCCCAAATGTCAATTGCTGGTGTTTGTGACGGATGTTTCAGTAAAACCTCAGGTGCACGAAATCCTGGTGTACCAGCTCTTGGAGCTGCCTGTTCTGGTCTTGCTGTACACAATGAACAAACTTTAGGCTTTCCAAAACAGCAACATTTCTCTCCTGTAACTTTTTTCCCTGTATTAAGAGATTGATTTAGACTATTCTGAAAAGTGTTAAATATATTGTTTTATAATAACATTAATATTGTTTCACAGTTCTTAATAGTCAATATTATACTTCGTCTGATCTTTTCCGCTTGACAGATTGTGTATTAGTACTATTTGACTTAGGGTTGTTGGACTTATCTTCAGGAACATATTCTTGTGCTAATCCAAAATCTACTAACAAGTATCTACAAAGAAAAATAAGAAATTAGTCTGTTGATTCCATGTTGAAACTGCTTCATTTTTAAAAAAACTTATGAGTAGTCACTTTTTATTGCACCGATCGTATAAAAAATTGTTAGGTTTAACATCCCTATGTATAATATTAAATTGATGAACTCTTCGCAATGCAGTCAACAATGCTATCATATAGTCCCTTGTCTCTTGAACAGTCATGTCTTGTACATAATCCTATTTAAAATTAGTGATAAAAATTTATTAAGTTATAGCACTCATAAAATTTATACAAACTTCATTGAAATATGAATATTAATATACCGAAAACTTGTCGTGTCTCATATAAGGCATAACAAAAACCACTGTTTCAAAACTTCGTAAACATAATTCTAAACCAACCACATAATCTTTCCCTCTGAAACAAAGTGTGCTTATAAGTTATCAATATAAAATTGCATAAATATTCTTACATCTAAACTTTTTCATGTAACACCTAATAAACTATAATCAAACTTTGATATATCTATTACCCTATCTGTTGCATACATAGCAATTCACGTTCAATCTTCTCTGGATGACGAGTGGGGACTAAATGTTTCAAGGCAAATTTCTTCGATCCATCAGAAGATTTTAGTGTAGCTAGAAAGACAGAACTGAAAGTTCCTTCTCCAACTTTTCCATGTACATCAAATAACTCCTTCAATAATGGAATTCTGTTTTTAAGGGCGACAACATTATCGTTCTCTGAAAGTTTTAATATATTAAATTTCATTTCCTTCCTGCAAATATGTAATAAAAAGTTTTTGTAAACAACATCAGACAATAAATTTTTCACCATCTTCATTGTCCCCTTCAATTTGAGTTTTTCCTTCCATAATTGTAATATATTATAGAATGCACTTAATCATATAATCACGTTATTATCCTGTCCATTAGTTAATTCAACAAATTAGAAATTTTGCAATACATAAGTTTGACAATGAGAAACTGTCACGTGTGTGATAACCTGTCAGAGCCATCAGACATTGGCGCCATTCTAAACATCGAAGTGTATGGTGCATATTGGTGCATACAACTGCATACGACTTGTTGCGTTAAGCACGTTAAGAAGATAAGCATGAAAAATATTGAAAAATATCTACATACACCGACCATAACAGACCCTAAGTTCATATATTGAAATATGTACATACGATTTTAGTACTTTACAACAATAAACACGTTCTTTTACCCTTTTACTTAGTTGATAAATGGGCATTGAGTTCATTTTCACTGATGCGACGTTCGTGATAAAACTGTAAGCTTGTACATTTCTTTTTCAAAAATGAAACTGTATCTTGATTTTCTATGCCAAATAGAATACTGTTAATTATACTTATGTGAAAATATGATTTATTATTGAGATTATTAAAATTAGCTTCTAATACATTTTAATTTGTAATTTAATAAAAATCTTTTGTGATAGGTTAGAATTAAAAGAATGCTTAAAGACATAATAATTGATTTAGATTAATATTTATTGTATTCTTACTTTTTCCTCTATTTCTAGATATTTATATAAAATAATACTATTTCCCGTGTTATATGCCAGTCTAACTTGTATAGTTTCAGCATTTACTCTTAACAAATCTGACAAAACACAACACAATATCAAGATTAAGACATGCACTAATGCGATTCTATCCTTCACAAGAAGCACAAAATATCTGAATAATAATATTTACCATGGATCCACCTAAACCAACATCACCACCAGAAAATAATGAACGAAGAGTTTTTATGAATAATGCAGATTGGGACAAAATAGCAATTCATCTTGTTGGTACTCAACAAAGATTTAGAGAAAATATTATAATTCCAAGGACAGTAGGGCCTGTGCAAATTAAAAGTAATGAAGAAAAACGTATGGAAAGTATAGCTGAAAGTTGTACCTTCAAAAGCATATGCAGTTGTGTCATAGGTTTGTTGATATTAGATTATATTAAACATTATAAATTGATGGAAATTCGTTTTAAAAAATTGTATTTTCAGGATATGCTTTGGGAGGTGTGATAGGATTGTTTACAGCTAGTGTGAATCCAAATTATGCCGCTGTTGAGAAGCAGCAAAGTGCCCGTGAAGTGCTTAGAGAAATGGGAAGCACAACATCAAGTTATGCAAAGAATTTTGCTATAATTGGTTGTGTATTTACAGCAATTGAATGCTCTATAGAATCGGTAATTCTTTTATAAATTCAATTTATTATGTTTTAATTCATATGTATATCATGTATAGTGACATCAACATACAATTTTCTTTTAGTGTAGAGGTAAAAATGATTGGAAGAATACTGCATATGCTGGTGGTTTAACGGGTGGAATATTAGGATTAAGAGGTTCCAATTTTTTATACACACAGTCTTCAGATAAATTTAATGCACATATTCCTGAATCTAATTTCATGTTTTAGCTGGTGTAAAGGCAGGTATAATCGGAGCAGCAGGTTTTGCAGCATTTTCAACTGCAATAGACTACTATATGACTCATAGATTTTAGATAATAAATGTCACAAATAATAGTCGATATATTTGTATAAAAATTGTATAAAACGCACGCTGCGTGTATTTGTACAATACATACAATAGCGCGACACTGTTCTTAGTACAAAAATGCATACAAATAAGTACAATAGTTCAGAAAAAAATAAATTCACGTAATACATTAATATTTGTTTCTTTTACATTATTTGAATATCTTCTCACAAACTTTCATTCATTAAATATAGCGCTATGGCTTTAATTATCAAAATTTGTTCTCATGAATAATAAAATGAATTAAATGACTAATCTTATTTAGTATCAAGTAAAAATAACATACATGCTGTTTCAAAATAAAAATAATACTTTACATATTGCAAAAACATAAACACATTCAGATCTACATGTTCTATACGACAGTGCGTATCACAGTAAAAAATCAATTTTTCAGTTCTTAGGTATACTGAATTTTTACTGACAGCTTGATACTCAAACAGTCTTAAAGTCTTTTTACTTCGCTTAAAAAAATATACATGGAACATTGGAAGATATGGCTTGCAAACTGTATGCTTTTCTCAGTTTGTCTGTCGATTGTATAAAATGTGTTGGAATATATATGTACCTATACAAATAGTAAAGATAATTTAAAAATTTTTTTACAATACGGAATTTTTCACTTCTTTTTAAAAAAATTGTGCATACTTATTACATTCGCTATACATATGATTATTATATAACTACTGTGCAGAGCTGGAAAGTAGGTATCTACAAGAGCAGTGAGTTCCATTGGTCAAAAAATACTCTCCACTCTATGGCCTATCTTCTTTTATAATACTCCAAAGCAAATATTTTCGTATTTTTCTTCTTGTTTGGATAAGATAATATAGTATGACAAAGAGTGAACATTATGCACCAAGAATGAATAAAATAGAGTAACTGTGAACAACCCATGAATTTTAAAGGGATGTACAGGTGCTAAAAATTTTGTTTCCTTCTACAATATGTTTATATAAATATTACCAATAGTATAACAAGGTTCTCCCGGTGAAAATTAATCCAAACATAATCCCATACAGATTATTTATAGTTAATACTTTCATTTGCAGAAGTCAGAAGTAATGTGAATCACGTATTGTCAAAAACAATCTGACCGAGGCCGTATTTAGAATCATTTTTATCGGGAGAAATTATCAATTAGTGATACTTTTCTCAATATGAGTAACAGCTCATTCAATTAAGTGCTTGAACTTTATGGATCTGATCTGTTATTGGCTGTTTTTTTAAAAGTTCGGCTAATGCTCTATTTTGCTCACTCCTTATTTCAATTTACTCTTCTTATCTGAAAATATTGCTTTCTAAACACAAATATAATAAACTTCGAAAGCGGAGCTAGCGAAAAACTCCTCTTATCTCTGTATTCCTCTAAAAAACGTTTTCAGCTCTACTCTGTAGTATAATGATTTACCAAACCTGAATTGTACTATATTGTTTGAGTAATATAAATGTTTATAACAACTCTGTGTTACATAAATTCATTTTATAAAAAGGATAATTATTTTGATACTTGTATTTTAATAACGAAAATGTAAATTGTTCTATTTAAAAAGAATATGCAAGGCACTTATCGCACATTTCTGTTTCATATGTTTATAGATATTATTTGCCGAACTATAGTAGTTTGTTCTGATGTATAGTTTCCTGTACTTTTGCTACCTTATTCTTTGACTCCTTTAAAATGCTAGAATATGATTGATATTATTTATAACTTAGTATTTAAAAGTAAAATACTGAATTGAAAAACGTATCTTTACATAATACGTTTGTCAGAAATTATAAAAATTATGCACTCCTATTACAATTGTATTTTGGATAGCATATTAATCATTTGATTTATCATTTTTTGGCACCTATAATGGTGAAGAAGTCGTGTATCTTCACGCATTTGTGCATAAGGTGTATGTATAATTATGGTTGTTGCTGTTGCATTTGCGCCTGCATGACTGCCAAAAGTTCTTGCATGCGCCGTAATTCTGCTTCTTTTTCTTGTAAGATACGATCCTTCTCAGATGCTGAATTAGTTTTTTCAGATTCCACAATGCTGTTTATAAAGATTCAATAAATTAATCAATATGTTTTCTAATAGTATACAGAAACGAAAGTATATATCATTAAATTTACGTTTGTCTGCGAGGTGGTACAGGAGCTCCCTTTGCCAATCTCTCGCTGCGATAATTTTCATAATGTACCTCTTGTGTTACCTCCTGTAAATCCTGCATGTGTGTGCTACAAAGTATAGAAATAAATAATAATTAATTTCTTCCACTTTTAATGTAACTTTTGGAAGTTACAATACGTACATTAACATTGTCCTTAGCTTTATGAAATCACAATGATCTGGGTTTTCAACTTCTACGACACCCCATGGATACAATCGTCCTCGCACTTTACGTCCTTTTACTTCTAACAAAGTGTTTGCTCCACATACTGCAAACGGGACAGCTTCTTTCAACTGTCTAACTTGTTCTTTGTAATCTTCGTCTTCGTCGCTATCACAATCTGGCAGAGGATAAATTTTTATACCACTGCCCTCAATTTCTTCCATAACTCGCTTTTTTAAGCGTAAGACTTCCTTTTTTGTAAGTACATCAGCTTTAGCAATTACTGGTACAATATTGACTTTATTATGAAGTTGTTTCATAAATTCAATATCCAGCGGTTTCAATCTGACATAAACGAAAAGTACAAGGAAAAGTTAACGCCTTCCATACCATTGGTAATATAAAGTTATAATTTGATTCATCTTACCCATGACCAAACGGAGAAATAAAATAGAAACAGCAGTGTATTCTGTTATCTACTATATTTCTTCTATTCAAGCCACTTTCATCACGTAAAAATCTTTCAAACTGATCATCTATATATTGTATAATAGCTCTAAAACTATCCGTATTATCGATTGCATCTCCATAACCAGGTGTATCAACAACAGTCAACCTAAGTTTGACACCTCTCTCTTCAATCTCCACAGTGGAAGCATCAAGCTTTACAGTTTGATTAGTTTTTTCTATTCATATGATATTAATAAATTAACCATAATATATATATTATAAAGTACATAATACAATGATGTACAAATAAAAATAAATTTACCTATAGCATCAGGAATTACACGTTCTGGATATAAATCAGTAAGAAACAAACTATTGACTAAAGTAGATTTTCCAAGACCAGATTCTCCAACAACCATTAGCGTGAATTCAAATCCTTTCTTTACCGATTTTCTATGTACTTGATTGGGTAAATTTGCAAATCCCACATACCCAGGTGTTTCAAGACTAGCAAACTATAGAAAATAAAATAAAAAAATTCAATCAAGTTAGCCATAAATAAACTGTAAACATTATGCATTCATGATACACAGATATGTAAATAACACTGAAACAAATCCTTCGATAAAGATTAAACAAATTTTTAATATATTCTTCGTTTAATGAACCTTTTATATAGTTGCTGACATTAATGTTCCTGTGACTTTGATTCTTATGAAATAGCTTATAAAAATGGATATTAGCACAAAGATTCACAGTCTATTAATGAATAACATAAATACATCCTTGTGACACAGAAAATAAAAATATCACGAATTACCTGTTTCAATAACAAAATACTTACTGTTTTCACGCTTTCAGTAGACATTTTTTTAGTACTACTGGTTATAATCTATAATCTATGGGGATGAAAGGAATCTGTGATTGCGTAAGCGTTTTAAAATATTAAGAAAATAACCCGAAATTAAGTTTCAGGCAAACAAACGCTGTATTGTGACAGAACGCGATATCGCAAACATACTGAAAGCACATATGTTAAATAAAACGACCGAAAGGTAATTTTATTTGAAAATCTTTTGCCTGAATCCACATTACTTTTCCCTTTAATAAACGTATTAATTGACAAACAAAGCCATAACTAACAAATTCAAAGCTTTTAGCGTAACTGCATTGGAATCTAAAAGATATTGCACCAACTGTACAGGAAACGTTACTGTATATCCGTATATATAAAGTGGGAGAAGGGGGATAACCCGCAATTGGGAGAAATTTAGGCGTGGCAACTGAAATACCTTCGATGTTCTATAAAAAAATATAATAACCAATTTATCATTGTTATATGATTTTTCGTAGCAAAATAACATTAAACATATAATTATAATTGCAAGGTGTGATTTATTTTCACTATATTATTGCTTAGAATACTTCAAATACGTAAAAATTTTAAGTAAAAGATAAATATTGAATTTCATGAAAAATTTTTCGTATAAATCACTTTAGTACATTTAAGAATAGCTTACAAAATGTGTTAAGAATATTACATGCTGTTCACAATTCAAAATACACATAACTTTTTTATAATCTATCATCTCGTAATTTTCTAACGATATACATATTATACGTTTACCAGGCAAACGGCTACTTTATTCAGGAAATATCATATACAAGCATAGTTTTACATAATATTTGTCATTATTTCAAGTTTTCCTTTATTTATTATCTCATAACCATCAATACTTCTTTCAAATGATCGACATTTATTACTAGCATAGTTAATTCGTTACACAATATTATTGTTTAATAATCGACACATTAACTTCGTACCATCCGGTGATGTATAAATTTTTTCTTTCAATCACTCAATTATTTGTATTCTTCATAATTATTTGTTATCCCAAAAGTGCGTAAACAATTGTTTAATACTTTCAATCAAATGTGACTTTATCTATTAAACAATCATTCACGAATCACTTTAACAAGCACATACAATGATCAGTATTAAAATGAAACATAAAAATTATAAGGAAGGAAATGGTAACAGGGACAATGTTGTACTCTATGAAATGGAAATTATTCTAGAGTACAGTTTTTGAAAATACGGCTTGCACGAGATCAAATACACGTGCGATGACAGTATATATTTTTAATAGTTTGTACACATACCCTCAGTATTATTACAAATTGATACAAAACCCAACATGAAACTGACATGAATATTAAAATACTTTTCATGTCATCTGAACAATTATGATTTACATACATATATATATATATATTCATTTATATATACATATATAAATACCAAGAAGACTATTGAAGCATGCATTGTGCACACAGTTTTTACTTGAAATTCCCAATTTACTATTACATTTCTTTTTAACTAAGAAGGTAACGTAAATAAAGAGGGCATCATACAAGAAAGTTTTATTCTCAATTAAAAATGCCAAATATGTGGAACCTAAGAATTCCATTAAATCACCTTCTGTCCTTCTGAATTTTTTGGGGAAGGCACCCCTTTTGGGATAAATAAAAATTATTGCAATTTCGTTATTTGATCTTTGAAGAGACTCTCCCCCTTGTTTGTGAGGAAACTAAAAAATCTCGTATCGGTTTCCGAATTTTTTTGTCGGGGAAGTTTCTTTCTTTTCAATTCAGGGAATCAGAAACTATTAATCGAGATAATATTTTTACTTGTCATAAGTTTTAAGTGACTCCTCTCGAGGTTTTGCACCACCATATATTGAACTTGATTTACTTGATTCAGCAACTGCATTTACAGGTGCTTGAATTGTCCTTGGTGCTAACACCAAACGCTTCCTTCCAGTTGTATCTATTTTAATAATAATACTGGTAATTATTATGCGATTTCACATAGTCAAAATGTAAAAAGAACATGAGTAGGTAACAAACCTGGAGGTGGGTCGCTAGTAAATGGTTCCTCGTTAAATGGTTTTCGATCACTAACTCCTCCTCCTCTCCCACGAGTAAGTGGTCTGCTAGCATATCCTCTAGTAGGCTGTGTACCACGAGACCAATCTCGACTCCCACCGCCTGTATCATCATTAAACTGACTGTAGTTGCCTCGGTTACCTCTCATATCCCATGTACTACCTTGCCTACCAGCTTGTTGACCTCTATCACTGTATCCTCCTTATATTAGAATTACAGCAATTTTAATTATTTAACATCACTTATACAATTCTACTACATACTATGATGTTATAAAAAATATAATACTAATATTAAAATGATACAAAATATTAGACTTCATATATTAAAAAAAAACATTATGCTTCGCATAACACTTATTCAAATATAAAGATTTACTACCAAAATCATCTCCATATCCACTACGACCACCATCCCTTCCTCTAAAGTCTCCTCCACTTCCACTTCCTCCACGACCTCTCCTGTCAAAACCACCTCCTCTATCATTTCTTTTTCCCTCTGCTACATCTATTTTAATGATATTATTCTCTACTTCTACTGCGCCATCCATTTGCAATGCACATTTTAGGTCTGCAAGATCTTCAAATTCGACATAGCAAAAGCCCTTAAACCTGTATGAGAAAAAACAAAAATGTTGATAATATTAATTGTAGTATTAACTTTCCTAATATGATCCAGTCCATATTAATTTTCACAAACCTATCAGTTTCCTTATCTTTAACCAATCTGATTCCTCTAACATTAAGGTTTTCAAAGATCTTATCCACATCTCCTTGAACAATTCCATCCGGCAAATTTCCCACATATGCAGTATAAGGTGGTTTAACTGGCAGTGGCTTTCTACTACCACGATATCCATCTCCATAATCTCTGCATAGAAACAAAGAATAATATTCGGTTAGACAAATGAGAAATTACTTTATCCAAATATTTTTCTTACAGAACTGTATATATGTATTATGACTCAATTATTCTATAATCTTAATAAATGGAAAAAAAATGTAGAATACTAAATTTCTTGCAATTGGTTCATGTATATTATTTAATATCTCTAAACCGAAACAGTTTTTATATTCGAATTTGGAAATGGGAATATCTTAATATAACAAAATTCAGAACTTTAAAACTATGATTTCTATCTGGACACCAATTTTCGATGCAAAGATTTTAGTAAATAATATAGTCTCAAGTATTGAAACAAGCAGGTAGTATATATGCACGAATAGTCGTGTAACAGTTTCACTAATGGTGTCACAACTATGATACATCAATGTTTGGCTGGCCAAAATAAAGCCGCGTGTCGAAAGCACCATATCTGCAAGGTGCTACGCTGCACTCTAATCGAAAATCACTTAACCTTAAAATCGTGAGATTATCGAAAAAAAAGATGTGTCTCTTCGTTAACTCGGTGTATTGTTTAAATACCACCGTTTCACTGTTTTAGAAAACCTCGACGATCGTTGTACACGAAAGAAATTATAATCTATACTTGCCTTGAATCTTCGTAACCACCTCGACCAGCCATATTGGATGCACGAAACTGACCGGGACCGCGCGGGTCGAACGAGTTACTATGTTCAAGATGGCACTTTCCTAACCATCAAAGAATTCATAAAATTCAAATTTGCGAAACTATGCGAATCTGCATACATCAAACGATGGCCTCAGATAATAATTTCATCAAGTAGTTAAGAATCTTCGATTAGAACAGGGATAATAATTATAATTGCGCGAACCATGATTTTTTGAAACAATTAAATTACAGTAACGTTTTGTTAAAAAGTAACTTATGTTTGCATTAGTATTGTTCAGTATTACTAAAATTTTTTGTTAATAGTATTTCAAAAATTTTACTCAAAGGTACGAAATTTTTTTAAGAAAACGATTGACAATCTATGTGATGCAAATATGAGACATTCACTTTAGATTTTATATTCTATTCAATATTTATCTCGTTTGAATAATTATTAGTAAGGGATTATAAATATATTAAGTCATTCGTTTGTTTTTCTAATGCATATATTTTTAATGTAGATTGTAGATAATCGTTAGATCAACGTAGTTTTTAGTTAAAACGAGGCAAGATGGCAGACGAGGGTATGCACATGGTAGAGGTTGTTTCAAATGACTTGAAAGCAAGGGAAAAGAACAAAATGGATTGCACAATATTTGATCATTTTACAAAACTCAGAAATGAGACTGAATCTGACAGGATAAACGGTGGCATCGAATTATTAAAATATTTACTTGGGCAAAGTTCAGTAAGTGTTTATTTAAAAATAACCTCAAATAGCTCGTTTTTATAAAGCGTGAAATATGTACAGTTTTTCTTTATAAATGAATTCCTCACAAGTAATAATGTTTTAGAACGACTGTAACAGTAAAGAGTTTAAATATGCAATTAGAAGACTCATTCGAGGTTTAGGGGCATCGAAAACCTCTTCAAGAATTGGATTTTATACAACTTTGACAGTTTTTTTAATAATGTACCCTGAAATGTCAATAGAAGAGCTCTTGTCCATAGTGGATAGTGAATTACATCCCGTTAGCAGCAACCCTAAAAGTGTAAGGAAATTAATTCTTGTTATATATTGTATTTAGTGCTATGGGTACATTTGTATTTTATATAACAATGTTATTTTAGGAAAATGCTGATATTTATATGGGACGTATATTACTATATGGAGCATTAATACGATCTAAAGTACTTTCCAAAAGTACTGATGAAATACAAAAGCAAGTTATTCAAGGTCTCATCAAGGAAGGCAAGCAACGTAGTTATCTATCGTTCCCTTCAATATCCTTTTTTCTTGAATTTGTAAATCAATGTAATTCTGAGGATATTAAAAAATTGGTTTGGCCAACTATTGAAACAGAATTTGGTAAACCATGGTCAGAACAAACTTTGGATACAGTTTATACCTTATTAGTTATAAAAGCCAAATATCCATCAATTGTAAATCAGAAGTTTTGGAAGAAACATTTTGGTATAGAAGATACTATTACCAAAGAGTCTGTGTCTAATGTAGCAAAAGTATTACTGGTAAGTGTGCATTAATAACATATGTAAAATTTAAGAGAGTATTTATAAAATAAACTAATATATTATTAATGTTCAGGATTTACCTAAGATTGTGTTGTGTCACCATCCAGTATTTAAAGTATTTTGTGAAAATCTAACATCGTGTGAACTTATAAGTGAATTTTGGATGTGTATTGATCAGAAATTTACAAAACCAACAAAAAGTAACGAATACTTGGCTGTAGAAATTCTCAAATTATTATTATCAAATATTGCTGATAAATCTATACTTCCATTATTACTATCTTCAAACTATATGCAACACATGTTGAGAAAGTTCTCTGATAATAAACGACATGGTACAGATGAAGTACTTGTAGCATTTAAGGAAGTCTTAAATTTGCTGGTATCAGCTACAAGTAGTAATGACACTAAATTAAAAACCCAAATTGCTGTATTAAAAAAATTAATATTGTACCCAGGTGATTTGATGGTAGAAAAAAAAACAGGCACAAAAGTAGTTCAAATGATAACGGGCAATTTAAGTTTAGAAGGTATTAAAAAAGTATCAAAAATATACAGAGATATTATTGAAAATACAATAGTTAAAGAAAAAGCAGATGCAAAATCAGAAACATTTTGGACGAATGCTGAAAGAATGTATGCTGCTCATTTATTGACAAGGTAATTAATTTTTTAAACAAACATATTTAAAATTAAATTTTATCTTGAGGACAATTAAATGTGTAAACTTAATCTATTATACATTTTCAGATTAATGGGATATTCAGTAACACTTACAGATCAAGAATGGAGATTAGAGCAACTGAAGTTTTTATTTACTCATGGTTTATGTGAAATATCAAATGTTGGAGTAGATCTGGCATGTAAGTATTATACTTTTGTGTTTACATTTATACATATCATACAAGTACATATTTTCTTATTTTCCTTTTACTTCTTTCCTAGCTCATCTTAAAGAAGCATTTTACCATGGATTGGATCATAAATTACCAAAGTTAAATAATCTACGAAATATATTAAGTGACCTAGTTCATCATTTAGATAAACATCTGAAAAATAAAACTTTAAAACTAAGAAATCCATTATCAGATGAAGCAAAAACTGCCTGGGAGAAAGTGATGAACTTAATTGAAAAGTTAGAGAATAATTCGAAAAAGGCAGAGGCTGTACCAGTATTTCATACAATGAATTTACATATGGGATTACAATTATTTTCAGACCCACAAATGGCAATTATGGCTATCAATGAACTTCAAAGTTGCTATGAAAGATTGGTTAAAAAGTCTAGAAAAAGTAAAGTGGGAATCAATGAAAATGAAGACGATGAACCAGAATGGGTGGAAGTAGCGGTTGATTTATTACTGTCTTTCTATTCTAAAAATAATCATTTATTACGGTCACTAGTGGGATGTGTTTTTCCACATATTTGTCCATATGTAACACCTACAGCTATACATCAAATTTTGGCAGTATGTAAATATGATTTCATTTGAAATAGTGAACAATATTGTATTTTAAAGTTTGTACTTTTAGGTGTTGGATGTAAGAAATGAAAAGGGACCGCTTGTAATGAAAGACGAAGTAGATGAAGAAAACTCGTCGGATTCGGAATCGTATGATAAAAGCGAGGATGGGAGTGAAGGCGACGAAGAACCTTCTAATGACGAAATGGAATGTTCAACGGATGATACTGAGTCGGATTCCAATGAGGAATCGTTGAGTGAAGATGAAGATGAAACAGTCACTGATAGATTACGAATGGCGGTACGTCAAGCATTAGGTGACGCTTCCATTCAAACTGATGATGAGGATATCGATGTGAACGAAATCAACGAGGAAGAAGGAAAACGATTAAACGAATCATTATCAGCCGCATTTAAAATTCTTCGAGAGAATCGTCAATCGAGATCGAAGAAACAAGAAAAATCTGCACAGGTTTTAACGCATTTCAGAATTCGAGTAATAGATTTAATCGAAACATATTTAGAATGTGGGCCATCAATGGCGATTGTACTTGATATGATACTTCCACTCTTTGCATTATTAGAATACTGTATAAAAGATCCCCATCAAAAACCTCTCCAAGATCGAATTCGATCATGTCTGAAAAAATTAGCGGCTGTAAAGAAATTTAAGGATACAAAAAATGTTGACGAAGATTTATTAACAGTGATATTGAAGGTATCTATAAATAATTTTAATATACATATAATAATTTTATATTAGTTCGTAAATAGCAATTGTTTATTCTTTAAGGTTTTAATCGAAAAAGGAGAGCGAACAACGTCAGTTTATCAAGAAATGAGCGACAAGTTGGCAGAATGTTGCACATTCCTTGTAAGATGTGCACAGCAGGCTGACGTATCTACCGAATCCATAGTGCAAATTTATGGCGAAAATTTAACAGCTTTTTTCAAAAGGAGGGACTGTGTATTATCACCTCTGTTATTTAAAAGTATTTTACAATTACAGTGGGAGGGTAACTGGCAACTGGCTCTGTTACTGGTACATTTTTAAACTGCTATTGTTATGGAACAGATTACATTGAATATGAATTTTTAATTAATATATTAATTGTTTTTCTAGGTGGATTTTGCATTCGACAGTACCGTAAGATCTTTTCGTCGAAAACACGCACTCGACTTTTTAACAGTTTTCTATCATAATGGTCGCTTGCTCCATTCAGATACAACACATTCTGACACTAGAATGAAAATGGAAAAGAAATTATGTAAAAATGTCATAAGCACATTTCAGGAATTGTCTAATGTACATAATACCGAAAATGAAAAACCTGTTCTGAATAATGGTAACGAAATAGGAAAAGAAGTCAAACAGAGGTACATTTGTCATCTTTTAGTATTACTGCGAAATATTTATACACAGCATTTGCCAAAAGCGTGGAATTGGACAGATATTGGTAAGGCCCTTATAACATATAGGACTCATGTTTCACTTGCAAAAGATACAAAAACAGCGTGCAATAAGCTAGCAGCACAAATTGGAATTTCATTCAATGTGTAAGTAATAGTTAAAAGAATTGCAAAAAATGTTTATACATTAACACACTGGGATACTGTAATATTACTTTTCACTTTATCCTTTACAGACCTACAAAGAAAATCACACACAAACCAAATCCTGAAGCGAATGGAGAAACGAAGAATACCACAAACATAAAAGAAATTAATCTTACACGAGAAAATGGTGACACATGCAGTCATACAGATTCTCCCACATTAACGAAAAGCGAATTGAAGAAAAAGAAGAAAAATAAGAGTAAACAAAAAGAGAAGCAACAATTGAAGAAAGAAGCGCGAATTTTACGCGAGAAAACACTGTCTGATGGTTTCGAATCATTTAATTTTAGCGCTTTTACTTTACATGATGAACAGACTGAAGCTGTATCACAGCAGAATGGAGATTCACAAAACGATCAGACTAGTCCTACTTCTTCAAAGAAAAGAATGCCTAAACAGACATCAGATGGTAATAAATCGAAAAGAAGAAAAAGTATGCAAACTCCTTGATATGTGTAATGAATGCCATAGAATTAACACAATCATAAATAATTGTTATTTTTGTATATGCATTTATAAGAAGGTGACCAGATGTTTAGGTTGCAATGCAGGACATGTCCAAAAAAAAGGTCATATTTTTGAAAGCACCATTTTCTAGTTTATTACGTCTACTGTAGAAACATTTGTTGCCAATTGATAGCGCTATCTAATATGAAGTAGAAGAAACAGTAACTTTGTGCCACAGTAAAAATGTTAATAAAGTTACATATCCAATCCGGGACAGTCCCGCCTAATTCGAGACGTCTGGTCACCTTCATTTATAAAAATATGTATTAAAAAGTTTGTACAGCTTTGAAATATATAAATAAACCTCCAACGTGATTCTTGATGTTATGTTAACGAATTTATTCTTTAAAAATTAGAATATCACTGTAAAATAAACTTGTATATAATTGTGTAACGGGTAGATATGGTATTGATATTGACATAGTGAAGTGTGATAAACTTTGGCCTGTTCAATCTTGTTATTTATTAGTATTTTCTTGTTGGATTGTCAATATAGTTCAATAGAAATGTAAATTATCCAAGAACAAGTTATAAAAATACCTAAAATGAATACAATTTGAGATATTTCAAAGATCTGAGGATGGTTGAAACTTGTTGAAATTTAGAATATTTTGAAAATTATATTCAGCTTCTCACTAAATTTTCCAAGTTCCAAACATTCTGATATCTTTTAAACAATTTAAATATAACCTATTTACTATAAAATATAGTTAATAGATGCTAAATAAAATGGTTAGCACTTCGAAAATATACGGAATGCGTAAATTTTTGTTGTCCTTAAACTTAAAATATTCTACTCTATGTACACTCTACTCAGGTGTTACATACATATTTATGTGCAGTTCAGTGCAGTTATCAGCATCAATCAGCGTACATGTGGTGCTACGCGTGCTACGGTTTACACGAGTCTCTTCTGTAAATTTTGTTATTACCGTTACATATCATTAATCAGGTGAACGGTATTAATTTGAATAAAAAGTTTCGAAAATATCTTATGTATTTTCACTATCAAAAGATTACTATATTTTAAACGTTATATTATTTTATAAAGATAAAATTTGAAATACATTTATGTTATTAAGGTTAACCACGAGGTAAGGCTTCCGGTATTTCCATAGTATATAAACAGTACTTTTTAAATAATGTCTGAATACCTGTATATATAAATATTTGAATTTTTAAATAGATGAAGAAAGAACTAGAAGATGAATCCACCAGTGGTAGTAATTCAAAATGGTATGAAGAATTTTCCAAACGGGAAGAGCCATGTAAACATTCTAAATCTGAAACCGAAATATCATACTTAAAAGATGAGGCCAAAAGATATTTAGATGCAGAGGTAGCTGTTTATCAACTGAAAGAGTCCAAATCTCGTAATTCAGAAGCATCATGGTTAAAAACTGCATTAACACAGGGTACAACTTCAGACAAAGTTGCAGCTGCTATTGTATTGGTGCAAGACAATCCAAAACATAATTTATCTAGACTTACAATGATCATAAATCAAGTACGAATAGCAAAACATAATCAATGCGTAATGGTTATCCAGTCCTTAAGGGATCTTTTTTTATGCGGTTTACTTCACCCTAAATTCAAGTTGCTCAAGTTTGAAGAACAGAATTTGAATGAAGTTGATAAAAGTAATTCTACAGAGACAATAGTTAAGACAGATGCTTCAAGGAAAAAATTAATGGCTCATTGGTATTTTGAGGACCAATTGCGTGAACAATATGAACGCTTTGTTATGTCTTTAGCAACCATTGCCTCGGATACAGTGGATGCAAATCGTGAGGCAGCAATATCAGTGATGACAGATTTGTTGATCGGAAATTCTGAACAAGAACACAAACTTTTAGAATTGATTGTAAATAAAATAGGAGATCCAAGCAACAAAGTAGGATCTAAAGTTATATTTTGTTTAAATAAGTTGTTGCATGAACATCCACATATGAAGCTTGTTGTATTACGGGAAGTGGAGAAGTTATTGTTTAGAAAAAATGTGGCACAACGTGCTCAGTATTATGCAATTTGTTCTTTAACTCAGTTTATTTTGGATAAAGATGACACACAAATTGCTACCACTCTTATTGAAGTTTATTTTGCATTCTTTAAAGCTTGTTTAAAAAAAGGAGAACCGGACAGTAGAATGATGGCAGCAATTTTAACTGGTGTAAATAGAGCATACCCATTTGCAAAAATAGATTCCAATATTCTACATAAGCATACAAATTCTGTATACAAAGTTGTACACATTGGATCATTTAATGTTTCATTGAATGCACTGAATTTATTATATCAGGTATGTATCTGTGCATTATAATGTATTTGTTAGGATGTAATTTTAAATCCTATTTTTATATTTCTTTTATTTAGGTTACAGGAAAAGATGAAACTCAATCAAATAGGTTTTATTCTACTTTTTATGGAAAGTTATTAGACCCACAAATTGGATTAGCAAATAAACGTGCACTATTTCTTAATTTATTGTTCAGAGTTCTCCAAAAAGATGCTAAAATATTACGTCTATATGCATTCATTAGAAGAACTTTGCAAGTTGCATTATATTTTCCTGCAAATATGACATGTGCAATTTTGTATGTTATGTCTAAAATTATACAAACACATAAAGAATTGAAAAATTTATTATTAAAATCACAGACTTGTGTTAAAAATGAAATCAAGGGTGCCGAAACTAAAGATGCTTCGCTAAATTCAGAAGATATTGATGAGTCTGAGATTCCTAATATAAATTCAGAAGGTTCCCTTTTATTGACAAATGTTGTAATTGGACTTGATAGAAACGAGGAAACTAAATCTGAATTGAAAGAGGAAGGTGATGTAAAGGTTGAGTTAGGTAAAGAAAAAGAATATGATTCTTTTTATCGTAATCCTCTCTACGCAGGAGTAACTAAGGGTTTAACTCCTGAATTAATAGCATTGTCTAAACATTATCATCCAAGTGTTGCATTATTTGCAAGTACCATCCTTGAAGGTATTTCGATTATTTGCATTATGTTTACAAATATCAGTATTGATTACAATATAAAATGTACTTTTACATGTAGGAAAACCAATTGACTATACAGGAGACCCATTAGAAGATTTATCTTTAATGCGTTTTTTGGATCGTTACGTTTTCAAAAATCCAAAGAAATTCGAAGATAAAAAGGTGCAAAAGAAAAATGACCCTTTGGCACAACGTGCAGGATATACACCGAAAGGTATCAGATGCATACCAGTAGACAGTATTTCATATCTCAATGAAAGCGAAGCACGTATTCCAGTTGACGAATTGTTTCTATATCGATATTTAAAGAGGAGGAAAGAATTTAAACATGGGTCAAGAACGAATGATGATAATGATGACATAGAAAGTATTAATAGTGAAGAATTTGACGACATGTTAGGTAGATTAACAGATGGTAAAGATTTCGAAGATCTAGATATTGCAGCTGACATTCAAACTAGGAAGAAAAAGAAGAAAGGTTTGTCATATAATTTTTTCTCTCCATCAAAATTTTCTAAGTTGTACAACTTTTGTTTGTTATTTTTTATAGGTGTTGAAGATGATGATGATGACGATGGTGTCAAAAGTGACGCTAGTGATGATTTTGATGATATGAATGATTCAGAACCAGATTTAGATGAAGATACAGATGATGAATTGCAAGATTTAAGTGATGTGGATCTAAATGAAGACGACGATATAAGTGACATTGATTTCAATGATGATATTGATGATAATGAAGATATTTCTGACGATGAAATTCAGCCGAGCACAAAAAAAAAGCAACCAAAGAAAAAAGATAAAGGGGAAATTAAGAGGAATAAAAATTTGAAAGGAATAGATAATAATATATTTGTATCAGCAGAGAAGTTTGCAGAAATGCTTGAAGAACACGGTAAACAGAAAAGTAAATATGGTGGTACGGATATGTTTAATACCGCAGACGGTGCAAGCTCGAAACAAATAGATTGGGAAACAAATCGGTATCATAAACTTAAAGGCTCATTCAACAAAAAGAAACGAAAAGGTCCTCAAAGTTTCAAGAAAAATGTAAAGAAAATGAAACATTGATTATGAAACAAAAGATTTTGTTAAACTTCAAGATTCTTTTCAATTAGATTGTTTATGTATGAGTAATTAAAACATTCTGTAAATTGTAAAAAAAAATATTGACTTTACTTCGAATTTTACACATGCTATTTAACCACATATATATAGTTCAGATTACTTACATTCTAAAGAATTCTTTGCATTTTTTTAATGTACTCAGAAAATTATTACACCAATACTGAAACATGTGACAGAATAGAAAGTCTTTAACTATCACTATTAAAATTTATTAAACTATTAATAATATATCAACTTAATTTATAAACTGAAAAACAGAATTTTATTTTAATATAACTGTTTCTTTGTCATAATTCCAATCTTTTGTTGCGTAATACGTAACGGTTTTACATTTCAAAGAATATTGACCCTAGATGTCCGTACATACTGTACATTGTCGTATTGTATTTCAACAAAGTCATCAAGTTTCCAATTTCTTTGGCAACTGAAACTACTTGCATGTGTTAACTGTTTTAACTACTCAGTAAGTAGAGGTGGATTTAACATATATAAATAGTTACTAACAAGAAAGTTATATTACAAATAAATTACATCTAAAATACTAATTTTACATTGAAAAATGTGCTGAAAACCAACACCCAATTTGTAAGCTTTATTCTTTTGAATTAACAAACATTGAGACTAAACCTTTATTTAGAAAAGTAACAGTTGCAAAAGAAGTTGTTAGTTCATGTTTATAAGAAAGTACATGGTAAGAATTACTCATTTTTTGGCTAAATAGTGATACACATATGTAGTGACACTTGTCTGTTGTACCAATAATTGTAAAAAAAAAAAAACAAATTCACATTATTGTTACTGTGCAATGACCAACAAAATCTTTGAAATTTCAGTTTGTACACACTAGTTGTTTTCTTATATGCGGCAAATTCTGAAGCGCACTGTGTACGCATACCGGAAGGCTGGACGCTACTCTGGATCAGCTTTTGTAGAACTTTCTTCATCATGAGTAGGACTGTGCCATGTCAGTCGTTCTTCATAAAACTTTATTACAATCTGTGGACATTTTTCATTAGCAATTCTAGCAGGGACTAAGTCTGCATCATCTGTTCCCTTCCACTTCATCAAAAACATGAGTTCCCCACTTGAATCTGTTGCACCAATAATTCTTTCTGGTTCTAAGTTTCTGTCAAAGCCTAAATAGAATTAAAATTTATTAGCTCACTAAATCAAAAAAAGCTCATGAAATTAAATATATTATTGGTATACGACTTTAAAGCAAATTAGCACAAATGACAATTACCTTCAGGTTTCTTTTCTTCTGTTATTCTCTTTTTAGTATTTGTAGGTATGGGTGTACTCTTTCGTTTCTTTTGTTCTTTATCCTCATGTCGTTTACCAGCTGCTGCAGCTTCTTTCTTTTTACGTTGTTCTTCAAACTGTGCAATTAAATCTGGACAATCCAGATTTTCTTCTGGTTCCCATGTATTTTCTTCATTGGAATATCCTTTCCATTTTAGGAAATACTCAACCTAAATGCAATATACTAGTAAGTATGAAATAGAAAAACCGCTTAATATAGTCTATAATACACAAAACACCTACCTTTCCTTTTACCACTCTTCTGTCCAAAACTTTTTCAACGCTGAACTCTTCTCCTCCATCAGTCTCTGCAGCAGATGATTCCTTACCTTTGCTCATTTTGCTTCAAATACTGAAACAACTGAACCTTACTATTTAACAATAAATGTCACGATAACTTGTAAAGAATAAAAGAAACTGAACGAGTATAAACAGAGAAGGGAATTGACTATCGACGAAAACTTTTGATTTAACTTAAGTACTGTACCTATAAGAGCAGGATCTATAAATGACAATAATTAAAATGTAAAATGACTATACATATATTCGATAACTCTACGCAAATAAAGTTTCAATACTGCAAAGAGCAATGAAACAATCATGGTACAAAATGGCGGCACAGTAGCCGGGAAACAATCAAAGACATTATTCATTGAATTCGTAAGTAAATTCAATATAAGGTAACATTAATTTATGGCGATTTTCTTTGTGATTACTTTCACTAATGTCTGGTTACAATTAACATATAATTATGATACGTACCTACAGAACAATCACAAAACGCCAGAGCAATACGCACGAAGAAGCGAGGCGTCGGGCTTTCTTTTGCATCAGCGTCTTGTTACCGTGTTGCCGCGAAAAATAGCAGGTTGACCAACAACGTAGAAAATTTTGCAAACCACATTTTCTGTTTGTCACTGGGAAATATCGTGTCTTTTAGAAACAAATTAAATTACACATTTCTGTATGTACAAAATTAATGTTTTGTAAAATACTTTATAACGATAGTAAAGTACGACGAAAACTTAACATTATCACAACAATGCTTTTTCAATAATGTTACAACCAATCATTTTAAAGTATTTATACGTTAAATTTTTTGCAAATTGTTATGTACTTATCGATATTATAATAATGATCGATATATATTGTTACACTAAAAATGTCACATAACTAATATCAAGATTGATTAACATTCTTTAAAATTATAAAAAAGACATTTGAATTGTGTGCAATTTTTTTTAATTTTATTATTTTTCTAGATGGCGCTATTATTTAAAACTTTAACGGTGATTTGCTATTCTATACGGAGCACAGTTCAAACGGCGCTGAAAATTCAGAGTTGGCAAGGACTTTCAAGGTATTGTTAAAATAGAATTTGTAAAATAGAAGTATATATTTAAAAATTAATTGATTTGCTTGTATTGCTAAATTTTGTAAGATTCAAATTTAATCATGTTTTATATGTAATTTATAGAATAACATTCGTAATGGCTGCTCGCTCCGTTGTTAGATATTTACGTCCAAAAAATGTTGTGTCTCAAATTCACCGTTGTTCTTCGTTATCTGCATTCGAAATACAACACAAAACTCCAACTATTAAGAAAGTAATGCCAATACCAAAGGCACATTATGGTGGACGACACACGGTTACTCTTCTTCCCGGTGCTGGTATTGGTCCAGAATTGATGAACTATGTCAAAGAGGTATAAACACTGTATTCAGAATTTTAACTCCAAAAACGACGTGTTATTAGTCATATTTTCTTTAAATCATTGTACTGAGAAAGTCTCATCTATTAATGAAAGAGAGGGATAAAGTTTCTATAATCTATATGAATGTCTTACATAATTTTTTTGTGTACTTATTACAGGTTTTCAGTTATGCAGGTGTACCAGTAGATTTTGAAGATGTGGATATAGATCCTAATGCAGATGATAATGTTGATCTAGATTTTGCTATTACATCAATTCGTAGGAATGGTGTAGCATTGAAAGGAAATATTGAAACTCGTAGTACAGAAGCTGAAGTACTTTCTCGAAATGTTGCACTCAGAAATCAATTGGATCTTTATGTAAATGTCTTACATTGTGTGTCCTATCCAGGAGTGAATTCACGCCATAAAAACATTGACATTGTTATTGTCAGACAAAATACAGAGGGAGAATATGCCATGTTAGAGCATGAAAGCGTGAAAGGTGTTGTAGAGAGTATGAAGGTGATTACAAGCAGCAATTCAGAACGTGTTGCAAGATATGCATTTGAATATGCTAAACGAAATGGAAGAAAGAAGGTTACTACAGTTCATAAGGCAAATATAATGAAATTGTCTGATGGTTTATTTTTAGAAACATCAAAGAGAGTTGCAAAAGATTACCCAGATATTGTCCATAATGACATGATTATCGACAATACTTGTATGCAACTGGTTTCCAACCCACATCAGTTTGACATTGTATTAACAACTAATCTATATGGAGCCATTGTATCAAATGTAGTTTGTGGCCTGTTAGGTGGCGCTGGATTGTTAGCTGGTAAAAACTTTGGTGACCATTATACAATATTTGAACCAGGTACTCGTAATACTGGTACAAGTATTGCTGGAAAAAATGTTGCAAACCCTATTGCAATGTTAAATGCAGCTGTTGATATGTTACGTCATCTTGGACATAAAAATCATGCCGCATTAATTCAGAATGCAATCAATAAAACTATCAACCAAGGTATTCATACACGTGATCTTGGTGGACAAGCTACAAGCAGAGAAGTTGTCGACTCCATCATGAAGCACATTAAAATAGCATCTAATTAAAGACTGACAAATATTTTTGTTGGATATTAATATTTGTAGAAAAATACCTACGTACTATTGAATTTTGCTTCTTAGCAAGGATATTCCATTGTTTGTTAAAGTATTACATTGTCATTGTGATTGACAGAAGTCATTATACTCATTAATATAAAATTACGTAAGTTGCACAAAGTTACATAGAATAATTTTTAAAGAAAATGACAAATTTGAATCATGTAATATTTTAATATTTTATCTACTATGACGTCATCCTGTAATGAATTATTAAGATCTAAACTTTGTAAAATATTCATTGTAAGTAATAGTAGTAACATATATAGTTCTTCGCAAGCATATATTTGGCATGTAAACGAATTTTTTAGTCTCAATTTTATTAAATGATGTTGTCCTCTTATTGAATGACGTTTCTACACACTTATTAGATCTAAGTTGATAATGAATTATTAAATTAAAAATTGAATTGCATTAAATAAGTTTCAATAAACATAAATTCGTTTTTGTTGATAAATTCTTTAATCAGTCGGAATTATCTTGTTTACATGATCAGTAATGTAGATAAAACTCGTAATGATAATGACAATATTGTATCATAACGCATATGAAAAAAGATTAAAGATTTATTTAACAAACCTCAAAACATACATCCCGATTTAATTTTGTAAAAGTTGTAATGCTAGTTCCTCGTCCGCTTTTAAGTGTGTGTTCTCTACTTCACATAATGTTTTTTGTTTTCTCTTTATTTTTTTGTATTCCTCCTGTGTTATAAGTTTTCTTTTAGGAGGCCTGTAAACAATAAAAGTATGAATACCAAAGATCAAAATAATATTACAAATAAAACGAGTATATTTTTATAGATATATTTAGTACTAATCATTGTAATACATACCTATGAATTTTGCTTTCCTCCTCATCCTCCTCTAGTTCAGTAATGTCTAACGCTTCTGTATCATTTTCTTCTTTTTTACCATAAATTTTATCTGGATCTGGTAACCACGACATATCTAGTTCATTCTGGTCGCTATCATTAGCGTCATCGTCAATGCTATTTTCCACATCTTCATCACTAACTTCATCTTTGTCTACTTTCTTTTTACTAGCTTTTAATTTTTGTTTTTCTTTTCTATGTTTCTCTTTTATTTTTTGTTTGAAGCGTTGCTTATCAAACTTATCTTCTTCGCGTAATATTTGCTTGGCCATTTCTATGTTAATACCAGATTCCGTTTCAGCTTCATATTGTCTAGCTAATTCTGAAATCTTAACTTTCGCTGGATCCAGCACTTCCTAAAAATTAAATATTTTATTATATTTTCGTGCGCACTTTAATGTTATGTATAAAATTTATCTATTTCTATAAATTCAGTGCAAATTTTATTTAAAAAAAATTCGATCAAACCTCTCCTTCTTCGTTAAAAGTCGTTTTCTTATTTGGTACTATTTTCTTTCTAAGAATCTTCTTAGCTATTGCAGCTTTCGTAACAGTTTTCTTTTTATTTGAACCCAAATCATCGTCGTTTGTGGGTATTTCAGGTATATCATCAATGTCTATATTCTTTCTTTTTACAGTCAATATATCGTCATCATCACTATCATCTATGTCAGAAAGAAATATAGTGGAACATTATTATATGGAAGACGAAGATAATTAATATATTAATGTTCATTTTCATACCAAATGCAAAATCATTTGTATTCATTTTTTGATCCGTGATATTTTCTTCATTTTCCTCCAATTCGGTAGCATCAGAAAAATTAGGATCATTTTTCTTATGTATGCCTTTATCCAGTTCATTATTTGTAACAACTTGCTGTTTGTTTTTGATGTTTTTATTATACGATTGTCGTTTTTGTTCCATTCTTTGTAGGAATCGTATTCTTGGAGGTATAGCTAATCCTAATGATCTAGTTATCATAATAATTGCAACATAAAATGATGTTTCAATACATAACATTAATCAGTTAAATAATTTTTGAAAAATAATTCAAATCTATCTTTTTTCTCACCTCGCATATGCATCAGTGTTTAATGCATGAACATTAAAAACTTCTTTGTCCTTCATTAAAAAAACTGATTTCACGTATGCTACAAATGCTCTTTGAGCACTTTCTTTCAGTGATACATCCCTTGCTAATAAGGCATCCATTTTACGTTGTGGATTTTGTAGTTTGGTCGGATTTATTCTAAATAAAAAAAATGTCATTACTAACTGTTAATGAATGTATGCTAATTAATACAAACATTCTTAACTTACTGGATCATGGATATTGGAATTTTGCGTTCCCTGAGTTTCTCAACCATTTTTTCTTCAGAGGATAATAAAACTAATAAAGATTCACCACCCATTTGAAATCTAGCTGTTCTACCAGCACGGTGTATATATGCATTTGCATCTTCAGGACAATCCATTTGTACAACCCAATTTACAGCAGGAAAATCTAAAGTGCACTATGTTATAAATAATGTTTGAACTGTATAACTGTTTTAAAGATTCTACTAATTAGGAACATCATCCAACTGACAAAGTTATGAAACTTCATTTCATAAAGGACATGAAAACATTCAACACTTATTTCTTGTAAGTGACCAAGCAACTTACAAATGTTTGAAAATTATTTTAACCTCTACTTGCTTTTGAGATATTCATATTAATGCTTTTGTAGCTACTAGCATTCAAGGGAAGTTTGAACCCCTTAACATGAACATGTACCATTAGAAAAATATATTCATTCTTTTTTCCTACTTTACTTGTATGTAAAGTTTTATCGACAATTCCCTATATTAGTTGAATGATCTTCCTTCTAAGAAACACTTTTCTTATTTACCTAGTCCACGAGCTGCAATGTCTGTGGCAAATAAAACTGCAAACTGTTTTTTGCAGAAAGTTTCATAAATTTCCATTCTCCTGAGTTGATGTAACGTACCATAAAGAGCTAACAAACTTATGCCAGGTCTCAATCGACAGAACACTTCATATACATATTTTACCTGGAAACAAACAGTATTATTATTTTTGCTTACATATTACAAACGATTACATCAAACATTATTATACCTGTTTACAACTAGAAAAAAATACAATAACTTTTTGTTTCAAGTGATTTCGTAGAAACGACCATAACATTGCTATTTTATCTTCTAAAGCACAAATAACATAACTTTGTTGGAGAGCTTCAGGTGTAGTGTGTGTAGCATGTTCATGAACAGATACATACATTGGATCTTTCAAACTTAATCTGGCTAAATCTCTGACAGATCTAATGAGAATTAAAAGAATATGTAATGCAATGTGATTAAAAATATCAATAATCCTGATAGATTAATAAGAATAATATTTATAAACTTACTTTGTTTGAGTTGCAGAGAATAAAAGAGTTTGTCTTTTTGGAGGCAAATTCTCTATAATAGAATTCATAGTTTGTTCAAAACCCATATCCAAACAACGGTCAGCCTCATCCAACACTAATACCTGTTATTTAAAAAAAACAAAAAGACAAAATAAGTATTATACTACACATCTACATAATATTAAATATTTACATCCTTGCACATCTATGTACCTGCATATTTACACAATCAAATAAAGGATTTTCATCCATATGTTGTAATAAACGTCCTGGTGTACATATAATAATGTTACACTGATCCATACGTTTTTTTTCAAACTTTAAATCTTTTCCACCAATAATAAGACCAGCAGATATATCATGATGCACCCCAACTTTGCGTAATGTTTCATATATTTGATAAGCAAGTTCTCTTGTTGGTGTAATGACGAGTGCACCAAGTCCATCCAACCTTGTCCACTGTTTACAGTATAAAATTTCCAAGACCTAAGTAGTTATAAAATTACATTTTTATCATAAATAGATCTCCTTACAATTTTATGATCAACGCCAAATAAGATCATAATAGCGAAATAACGAATTTTGGTCTTGTTTGCACATATTCCTCTTCGTTACCTTATGTACCAACATCCTAAACAATTGAACATTACTATGCCTCATGTAGCATCATACATCGAGTGACTGTGAAGTACAAATGTGCCAATTCATAAGTATTCATGTCTTAAGGAATACTTCATTATGTCAACCGGTGTATGACAAATTCTATCGCCCATGTTACAGAAAACACCAGAGGGAATCGAGGATTCGTGAGATCTCTTGTGCTCATTCCAGATGCACGAAACAGTTACGGTCTTATTTAGCGTTTACTATAAGTACATAAAGTTAACCACATGTCTTACAGGAATAAGAAATGCTAAGGTTTTTCCACTGCCAGTTTTTGCTGCTCCTAAAATATCATTCCCATGTAATGCCAATCCAATACTTTGTCTCTGTATATCTGTCATCTCAATGTAATTATTTTCTGCTAAGCCTTTTAAAGTTTTCGGTGACAGTGGAAGATCTGTAAATTTGACTGCCTTTGTTTCATCAATCTGCGAAAATGTAACCTTAATAAAAACAAGATATTTTCTTATATTTATGAAAATTACATATAGAAACTTACGTTGTTATACTTTGATTGTAATTCTGTGATTATTTTTGTATCGGGAACATGTTTTTTCTTTGTATTGTAAACTTTAACTTTCTTTTTCTTAGACATCATTTATTATTTTCACGTTAAACACGTTGTATATATATATACATATATATAAGTACATATAGCAGTACGGAGTACGGAGGTTACAATACAAGCAAACAGGATGTGAAATCACCGACAACTTGTCGGGGACAAGGCAGGTGGAGGCAGACGACAATAACACAGAATTAGACAGTGGCGACACTATACTCTGTGAAGTTTATTGACATAACGACTGATGTCGCTTTTTTTAAATTAGGCGGGATTGGGCGGTTTACTTGGGTTTGCATGGTGCGGTGTGCGGTCAGTTTTATATTGCTTTGAATTGCTTTGTTCATATGCATATTAATTTACCTTGTATATATTTGTTCCAAATCGTTTATAAAAAATGGAAACTAAAAATGAAAGTGTGAATATTAATACTTCAACTTCAAGGGGTAAATATTTCTATTAGTTGATATTCCAAGAGACTTACAATAAAATTGTACTGGCAAGTTGTTACATTGTTGTGTCTTGCATTATTAATACTGTTATTATTTTGTGTATCTATACATAATATTAGGATGTAAATGTAATGACTTATTCTTTTGTTTTTTATATTTTTTCTTTTAACAGGAGTAGTTAGTTCTAATAGCATAGTAAAGGATGTAAAATTTAATAACGAGCCTTTGAAGGAAGAAATACCACAGAAGAAAAGGAAACGAACTGAGGCTGAAATTGAAGCTAATCGTTTAGCAGAAAAACAATATAATGATGAACTGCAAGAGCAGCAATACAAACGATTGATGCATTTGTTGAATAAAAGTAAATTTTTTTCTTCATATATTATGAAGAAAATTAATAGTAATATGGAAAAGAAAGATGACAATGAAGTCAAGGCAGGACGCTTAAAAAAGAATGATAATGGAGATGAAAATACACAGCCAAAGGAGAAAAAGAAGAAAAGTGAAAATATACGAAATTATATATCTAAAGATGTAAGGAAAGACTATATATATTTTACATAGTTTATTTTATGATTTTTGTACTTCTTATCATTAACTTTTATAGGTGCAGAAAAAAATACACACAAATAAAAATAAAATGAATTTAAGTGAAGAAAATATTGAAGCCATGTTAATTGATGATTCTCAAAATGAAATAGAAAATGATAGTACTTCAGAAATACCAAAATATTTCAACGGAGTATTACGAGGTTATCAAAAACAAGGGCTTCAATGGTTAAAAGTGCTTTATGAAAATGGTATAAATGGTATCTTAGCTGATGAAATGGGTCTTGGAAAAACAATTCAAGTGATAGCTCTATTGTGTCATCTATTTGAGAAACAACAAGATGGGCCATATTTAATAATTGCTCCTTTATCAACTATTCCAAATTGGATGTTGGAATTTGATAAATTTGCACCAAACATACCAGTCATGCTACTTTATGGTCCTGAAAATGAAAGATTAGCTGCACAAAGAGAGATTAAGAAAAAGCACAAGATCACAAATAATTATGGTACACAACCAGTTGTGCTTACTACATTTGAAATACCAATCTTGGAAAAACGTTTCCTTGGCTCTCAACAATGGAGGTACATAATAATTGATGAGGGCCACAGGATAAAAAACCATGAATGTCAACTTCTCAAGTAGGTTTACTCAACTTTAGCATTTACCATATTTCAAGCCACATTATAAACGTGGTTTATTTATTACAAATTAATCTAATTTTAGAAGCCATTGATTATAATTGAGTTTATTATTGTGATACAGGGTTTTAAAGTACTGTAAATCTATGAACCGGCTTCTATTAACAGGCACACCATTGCAAAACAATTTAGCAGAATTGTGGTCACTGTTAAATTTTTTATTGCCAGAAATTTTTGATGATCTAGCAGTATTTGAATCATGGATCGATGTAAAGGAACTTCAGTATGATGAAGGCACTGAGAAAGTTTTGAAACAAGAACAGGAGAAACAAGTTTTATCGTCATTGCGTGAAATATTACAACCATTTATGTTAAGGCGTGAAAAAGCAGATGTTTGTTTAGATATTCCACCAAAGAAACAATTGGTTGTTTATGCTCCCCTTACAGAACTCCAACATGATTTATACAAGGCAGTGTTAAATCGTGATTTACAAGCGTTGTGTAAAATTAATGAACAACCTAGCATATACACAGAGGATGGCAAAAGGAAACAGAGAAGATGTGTACTAAAAAATGTAACTAATAATAATTATAATACAAGTGACAGTTTTATAGAGGAAAATTCATCATATAGCCCACTTCAGGAAAATGATGAAAGTTTAGATACTCACTCTAAAAAACAAATAAAATCTTCGGATTATAAGAATTTGTCAATGTGGAAACAGTATACTAATGTTACAGAACGTAATCAAGATTTCCTTATTAACATTAAATTTAATAATAGAGGTAGGTTACCATTAATTGTATATGGAAAACATAAATTACTACAATATTTTATCATTATAAATACACATTTTTTTTTTGTAGCTGGTATGTACAAGAAAATTGTAAATCATCCATATCTAGTTCATTGTCCATTGGATCCGTGTGGTTTACCATTAGTAAATGAAGATTTAGTTAACTCGTCTGGCAAACTGTTAGTATTAGATGCAATGCTTGCAAAACTTAAAAGTCAGGGTCACAAAGTTTTATTATTTTCTACTATGGTAACAATATTGAACATGATTGAGGATTATCTTTCAATGCGTACTTATGAATATGTCAGATTAGATGGTGGTACTAAACTTGAGATAAGAAAAGAAAATATTCAAGCATTTAATACAAATCCTAATATATTTCTGTTTCTTGTATCAACGAGAGCTGGAGGTGTTGGATTGAATCTTGTTTCAGCAGATACTGTTATTATATACGACAGTGATTGGGTACATTAACGTTTCTATGTGTATTTTGTAGGTGTTATTATTTAAACTAAATTAAATGTATTTTGTAGAATCCGCAAATGGATATACAAGCTATGGCTCGTTGCCATAGGATAGGCCAGACCAAACCAGTAGTTATATATAGATTATGTACCAAAGGAACTATTGATGAAACAATTATTAATCGTGCAGAAGCAAAGCGTGTTCTAGAAAAGATGGTTATTGGTAAACAGACTGGCACAGGCAACCTTAATAGTAAGGAAACATTGTTAGAACTACAGAGACTTTTAGAATCAAAGGAGTGTCAAGTAGTTGCGTCTGAAAAGGAAGGTAATAATCATTAAACAAAGTTTCAATATTATTTCAGCATGACGAATTTCTTCACTATTTTAATAATTAAACTTCTAATACAGTTTTTACAGAAGAGGAGCTTAACAAATTGCTAGATAGAAGCGATTTGTATGCAAATTTTAAACCTGAGAAACCATAGATGCCTTACATTCCCTTAAAAGAGATTATACGTATAAACAGTATAAACGAAGAGATTTTTTAGTTTTATGAATGATTTTACTATTATTTATTATATTTATTTTTGTATTCGTTCGAATTAGTTGTAAGGAGACTGAAAAGTTGATAATACCATTCCATTAATTTTTTTTACGACTGTCTTTACCTCCTGATTATACATGTACTGAAAAGGAATCTGTATTTAGTTTTTTCATAATAATACTATCACTTGTTAAGCTGGTTTTTTTTTAAACTCTCGGACTATTGTGAATGGATTAATGTTCCCCAAAAAGATGCAATTTGAATTAGTAATTATTTAATATTTCATTTAATCAGTATTAAGAAACATGACTTTGTTAATCACACACAATTTAATTTTGTTTTATATTTTCTTATTTTTATTTTTTAAGTAAATTATGAAAGAGATTTTGAATTATTATATGAAAAGTTCTGGATTTAGTTCCAATTTCCCTTACCAGGCGGCTACCATAATTTTAGTAAAACCACCGACGAGGTATAGGATAGACCTATCATCTTATGGGACTTCGTGTCTCATGTTCTGAAGTACCGATTGTGTAAAAAGTCAGGGATTGTCTGCTGCCCTCTACGTTATGAGAACGGTGACTTCTACAGTGTTGTCGAGTCTAAAGTACGCAATGTTGTCAGATCATGAGTGTTCGGTACGTCGGAAAATCATCGAAGGGACCATGGTCGTGAACGGATTTTCTCCCGTCCGTTCACTGTAAAGTAGACGTATTAGAAGGGAGTCTTGGGTTCCAGTCCCGACGGACCTATTGGTTTTTTTTCGCGTACAAAAAAGTTATTGCGCTGAATATTGTTTTTATGAATATGTATATATATATATTATGTACATTTGAGTAAATTATTTTATTATTCCATTGTTATTACAACAGTTTAACAGTGACAACGAACGCATGTATATTTTCAAATATCGGACTAACAGTATATTTTTATTCTATATTATTACATATAAGTGAGTAATACGTATCAAAAACGTAATCGAAACACAGATTTTTATTACATCACAAACATAGCATAAAAGATATTTCGTTATATTGACTTTGTAATAATTATGGATGTTGCGGGGAAATCTATTGACATTATGAAACGTAACGAAATATCACTGTAACATTTAAAAAAGTTTCAAAGTTTCATTTATATCATTGTCCTGTGAAAATGTTCATACTTCCAGCAGCATTCATATTCCAATGAAAGAATTTACAGAATAAGGAAAAGGAATCTAAAGTAATTTTCAGTGGTTCCATACATCTTTATCTCGAATAATTTTCTAAAACGTTCAAAGTACTAGAAATTTTTACACTTTGAATCTCATATCGATTTCTAAAATAATCCCAGTTCGATGTAATATAGAACGTGGTTTTATGAGATAGATTCGAAGTTCGCAGCCATTAGCTCGATATTGTCATCAGTTTACAGTACTTTACCGATGACAATACCGATTGCCCAGGCCTCACCACGAGGAGGTTGCTGCGAGTGGAGGCCCAAGGCAGGTAGATGGAATCACAAGTTCCACATCTACCCACCTTTCACAATAAACCTTATAAATAACTTAAATCTTAACTATGTAATACTATCGGTACTAAAATCCCTCGGCGGATGACTTCTTTCTTGAGCCTAAACCTATTAAAAACTAAGTTCCCTCGTCGGTTGTCGTCGTTCTTCAGCTTAGAACTAATATTATCTTAATATTCTAATTAATACGAATTAATGCTATTAATACAAAATAACTTAAACTAAACGCAACGTAGTCGCTAATACTCAAACGAAAGAGATAGACGGAATGGAAAAAGTTCCATCGATCATTTCGTTTACGCACCTAATATTCTATATGTATACCAAGCAGTTATTAAGTCTACGATGAACTACGTGTTAAACTACAGTATGAACAAGTATCGCGATGAAAGTGTTGTCGCCAGAACCTGGTTTAAGAAAATAAGAAAGACGGGCGACACCTCGCTAACCCGGATCCATCTTTTACTGTCATGGAGCTTTGGGCTAGTCACCTGCGTACCAGACCTGAACCAAAAAAGTACACAAGCATGGTAGTGCAAGCGAGATTCTCTGTTAAACAGAGTCCGTTTACGGAGCAGCCTCCCGACTA